AGTCGCGCTATAACAAACGTTATAATTCTCAACAAACTCTCACGTGCTCGACTCAACAATACTCAGTTCAATTACACATTCCCCTACGTTGTTTCTTGGCCGGTCTTATATATGCAAGACTACCTCACCTCCTGTGGATGGATCTTCACCAAATTGGGTACGGAGGTTCATTGGATCCATGGGGGATAGATGCAACTTTTCAGTTTTGCGTTTTGCAGTTTTTATGGGTTTTTTTACCATTACTTGTCCCCTGTAGACGGATCTCCACCAAATTTGGCGTGAAGATTTATTGGGTCCATGGGGAGAAATATACACATTTTCAGTTTTGCATTTTGCATAACTTCCGTCCATGGAACGGGTACTCCAGCTAGGATAAAATATTTAATGCATCTTAATTAATTTTTTATGTATCAATCGACGGATTAAAGCATATTATTTTATGCATATATATTATATTTTTATATTCTACGTTTATTTCAACAAATGCTTCTGCCCTCTAGAGATCATAACCTGAATTGTTATTAGGGACATATTTTCTTAACCTCTTCATCTACGCCATATCTAACGTGATTGTCTGTGTCGGTGAGGTTATAACAATTCATTTTAGAGAGCATCTCAAAGATGTCGGTTTTCCGTGTGTCTTCAAAATTTTCACGAATTTTTGGGCATCAACTTAGATACAAATCTTTACAGATAAAGTCACGTGGATATGCCGACGCACAAATGCCTGTTACTTTTGCTTCACCTACCAAGGTGGTGTTATTTATTTATTATTCTAAATATAATTGATAATTATATCGATATTTTTAGCATATAACAGTTACAAATTTCTACTCTAATAAAAGTTGTTACAATGCTATGGTAGTACTAATTTTACTATATGTTTACTACTTCTACTTAACATGATTGAAAAGCCTTTAAATTTAAAACTAAAGGCTTTAATTTTCAATAAATATTAAAGGCTTTTCAATCATGGAAGGTGATAAAAAATTTCCTCGGTAGTTACACGACTATTATAGTGTTAATGTTAAATCCTGATGGAAAATAGTTTTAGAAAGTTTAATAACAGATGCATTGCAAAGTCATTTAACAAGTTTAAAATTTTGCTGGATAATGAACATGAGTTTACTATTAAAATTCATTGATGCTTGTGTAAATGCTCAAAGTTGGAATTCAATTTTCAATAAACAACGATTTATTGTACACAATTTTAAAAATGAATTTCAAAAATACAATAAAATACTAAGTAACTTATTGTACAAGATAAAAGAAAAACCCCAATGATACTTGAAATAATCTCATACACTCAGCATTTTGATGTATTTACTGCATCATCCTCAGGAGTGCAATTGTGTGCAAGAATGACTTATTTATATCCTTACAAAAGTCACCATAAATCATAATACAATTTACATGTTAAAATAATTTCATGCCATCTGCTGATGACTTTTCCATCATCCTTATTCAGTATTTTAGATTTTTATTTTTCATATTTGATTATCTCAATAAATTCAAATGTTGAGTGTATGAGATTGTTTTCAGTCTCATTCAGTTTTTTCTTTTATCCTGTACAGTAAGTTATT